TTAGTAGCCGGTCATCGTAGAATAACTGATAGGAACAAGAACTTTTCTCTTTCCGATGGCTTTACCAAGTAATGGGTAAAAACAGACTGACTGATACAGGGAGACTGGTAACGACAGGTTACGCAGACCTCAACTGGCTTTGCTTGTCTCTTCGCACGACTTAAGTCATTTTTATCTATAAACGACCGACTTCTTTAATTAGGTCCGACACCCCAAAAACGTGACCTATGTTAAGGCTAGTCGAAAAGTGACGGAGATGATGAAACTCTAAAGATTCTAAAGGAGGCAGTATTTAGAATTTACCCAAGGTCTGTTTATCATTTTCTACCTGGAAGAACTGAACTTTGACAGCTAGGTGGCAAGGATTATCCCATATACCAGTCTTGTTCTCTGATAAATGTATTATTATTTTATGCACAATATCGATCGTTTCTGAATTGATCTTTGGTTGAATGATACTTTGATTTCCAACCCACGTTTCAAGACTCATTCATCTATCCGTCCTGTTCATTTCGTAGTTAACCGCACACACTAAGAAGAAGAAATAATTATAGTATGATGTACAGTTTGTTGTTAAATGGGGCAAGGAATGGCTTGTTAAGTTTAACGCCTCCAAATCGAAACTTTTCTTGATTAATCACTTGAACGATCACTTCTTGCCTTTTATCATCATGGCTGATGCTAACCTCCATGAAGGTGACTCATTGCGCCTTCTCTGGCTAACATTCACGGCTGTCATGAAGTGGAACGACTATATTGAATCCATTGCTAGGTTAACTGCTAAGAAAGTCGGTTCATTGTGTCGTGTTAGATAATTTTTCTCTCCTGAATCTATGATATGTATTTATAAGTGTACCATTCACTCATGCTTTGAATATTCCTGCCACATTTGGTTTGGTGCCCGCCTTGTATATTTAGAGGTTCTTGATAAAATCCAAAGAAGAATCAGCAATATTATTAGTCCTGACCTGGCATCTCGGCTTCAGCCTCTTTCTCACCGCTGTAATGTAGCTTTTCTGTGCCTTTTCTATAAATACTTTCATAGCAATTGTTCGGATGGCACTTACTCTTTATGAATTTGAACGCTGTACTAGATTGGCGGCAAGGTCTCACCAATGCACAGTTGAATTAGTTAAATGTAACCGTAATTTCTATGCTAACAGTTTATTTTCTCACACTTCTCATTTATTTCTCAGATTTAAGTTTTTCCATCCAACTTTGATCTTCAAAAACGTAAATTCAATTTTTCTATCGTTATCTTGATTAGTCTTCTATTCCTCTTACTCCCTAATATTTCCTCTTTTTCTTGTTCTTTAGCACTCAGTAACCCCTTGTGTCTTAGTGGCTTTACTACCTTGCATGGCGTGATATTAATTTTTTTTTTAAATGTATGACTCAATTTCTAAATTTGAGATTTCAGGCTCTATTTAATCCTCGTCGGTTGATGTAAAGAAAAGGTTAAAATCATTTGCAATGCAGTTCCGTCAACAAATCCATTAGTAACGCATTTGGTTATTATTTTATAACGCATTTCTGTCTTAAAAGACTTTCTCTTGAATTTGGATTTGCTGCGTTAACTTTCATGAAATTTCTCGCGTGGTTTCCTTTCAGTCAGTGGTTTCGAGACCTGATGTCACAACTTGCATAAAAAATGCTGACAAATTAAGATGTAATTTTTGTATTAAAATAGAGTCAGATACATTTTAATTTACTCTTTAATTATTTTTCTTTACAATTGGGTTCACTCTGTACAAGGCCTGGAAGCCACTCAAGATAGAGGGCTAGGTTAGGGGGCAATTTGCGCGGATAGGAGTGGATGATAACGGTTAATCTTAGCCTTGATCAGGTTAAGATTGTTGTGATCTGGAAAACGTTCTCTTGGGAGTCCATTCCACAGGACAGTGATTCACGGGAAGAATCTGTTCGAGTGGAACTTACTTCTCACCGATGGAATATGGGGGGAATGAAGGTGATTTTCTTCTATGTAAGTGGCATGGCGGGCCGTAGCCATGAAAGTTAAAACTGGCAGAACCAAGGAATCCAGTTCGTCCGAGCACTTTCCATGGTAGTAGCGATAGAGCAGTGAGAGGTTTGCAACATCCCGTCTGTGTGTGTGTGTGTGTGTGTGTGTGTGTGTGTGTGTGTGTGAGAGAGAGAGAGAGAGAGAGAGAGAGAGAGAGAGGTTGAAGGGCGGAGTTAAATATGGAATCATTAAAGGGGTCAAAAACTGTTGACGTATTTGTTTAATAAATCCTCGCCGTTATATATATTTAATCATCAGAGGTAATAAATATTTAATGGATTTCCTAAATAAATCCTCCTGGTGAGATATCACGCTTTATGTAAACAGCAATTAATATTAATAATAATACTAACGCTTGAATATTTTGTTTCTTCCAGGACAACATGAAAAGCATCGAGTCGAAGTATGTGCCGGACAAAGCGAATAGTCCGGAACAGAATGAGACAACATCAAAGATCAAAGAATATATAGATTGGATGGAAAAGGAGCAAGTAAGCATTCTTTTTTTTTAAAATTATATTAAAGATATATTAATATAAAATGACATTAGTTAAATTCAGCAGTTGCAATGGATAGCATACGAGGTCTGATCAAAAAGTATTGGGACCTTTGCTATAGTATCGGTGTTAAAGTACATAGAATGAAGCCGCTTGGCACAGATTGATCTTTGAACTCTTTCACGCATGCACAGTAAACTATAAACGTTTTCGTTCACTTCCGTTATTTGTAGCAGTGCATGGAAGGAAAATGTGTAGAGTGTGGTCGTCTCATCACACCACAAAGATTCAGTGACCATGGCTTGTGCAGCAGTTTTTAGCCATTCTCCAGATTCGACAACCACCATATTCCCCAGACCTTGCATCTTGCAACTTTTTCCTTTTCAAAAATCAAATCAGACTTGAAGAAGATTTCAAGACGTCGAGGCAATCCAAGAGAATGCAACGGGACAGCTGCTCGCTACCTCAAAAAAAGAAGTTCCAGCAATGCTTCCATCAATTGACGCAACACTGGATAAATATCTTTGAATATATTTTTAACCGAAATTCTGAAGGTTCTAAAAAGGGTTATAAATACAAGGTAACCAAAAAAGTTCTGTCCGTTTTTAAAGAAAAAAAAAGAAAACGCTTCGCAGTATGTGTAACTTATATTTAGTCTTCGAAGTAATCGCCATCGGCATCCAACACCTTCTGCCAACGTGTCTCCAGTTGTTCAATGCCCTTACGGTAGAATTCGAGGGGTTTTGACGCAAAGAAGTCCGTGAGGGCTTTGCACAAGTCTGCTTCATTGGTGAAGGATTTCCCACAAAGATGATTATCCAGGGAGTGGAAGAGGTGGTAATTGGATGGTGCAAGGTCAGGTGAATAAGGTGGATGGCACAAAGTCTCCCACCCAAGTTGCTGTATGGTATCCCTGACCACTCGTGCGACATGCGGTCTGGCCTTGTCATGGAGGAAAAGCACACCTTTGCGATTCACCAGTGTTGGCTCCTTCTGGCGCAATGTCTGTTGCACACGTTTCAATTGCTGCGAGTATAGGTCTCCAGTGACCGTTTGGACCGTTGGTAGCAGTTCATAATGAGCCACTTGACGACCTGTCCACCAGACACAAAGAATAATCTTGCGTGGGTGCATAGGCGGTCTTGCGGTGTGAGGGACAGCATCCTGAGGAGACAACCAATGTCTGGAACACCTGGAAGTTTCGTAGAGAACCCACTTTTCATCACTGGTAAGCACTCGATTGAATAAGGATGTGGTACGGTGGCAAGAAAGCAGCGATACGCAGGCTGCCACTCGTTGTCCCTTCTGAACCTCCAACAGCGTTTGCGGAACCCACTTGCTCAGTTTGTACGTCTTACCTAGGCGGTGCAGGTGAAGTTTAACTGTTTCATCGGAAATGTTGAACTGTCTTTCAAGTTCACCACACGTTAGACTACTGTCCTCTTCAATGGCCGCCTTCAGGACTCCGTCATTCAAGACCTGTGGTCGTCCACTGCGAGGCTCATCATGGAGAGACAAATCTCCCAACTTGAATTTTTGAAACCAACGCCTTGCAGTACGTTCATCCACAGCACTATCCCCAAACGCTTGACATATGTGGCAACTTGATGCAGCTTCTGATAAGCCCACTTTGAAGTCGCAAAGCAAACAATCCCGAACGAGATCTCTAGACACTTCCATCCTTCTCACAGCTGTCCGGCTTATAACTGATGGTCGGGCACTGTGCGCGTGTTTTTTATAACGTCTGGTCTTCCTACTTGCGGCTGTCCGAATTTGAAAACAATTGTTACACGCATTTCGTATATATTTCAACTTCATTCAATGACTAATCAAAAAACGGACAGAACTTTTTTGGTTACCTTGTATAATTCAATAATAAAACACTTTTAGTCTTTTCTCTTAATAATAACAAAGGTTTTGACGTTAAAGCTTGTTTTTTTTTAAAAGTTTGACGCATCCTTTCATGATATATATACATATATATATATATATATATATACATATATATATATATATATATATATATATGCTTTAATATTTGTAAATATTAATCCCCCCTTTTACCGTAGATGGAATCCCTCAAAATATAGTCATTTATTTATCAGTTCTATATATTTCAAATTGCAGTAGCCTGGCTCTCAATTTCAATCAAGATTGCTTTATGTGTTGCCATAGAAGGATATGACTGCTCAACCAAGCAATTCAAATTCAACTTGTATTGGCGGATTTTACTAGGCGAATAAAGTCCCCTGCATAGTGCTAAAGATTAAGACGGTTAAGTTTTCCCATCGCCCATTCCATCTTCTAGTTTTTATATTTTTTAATGAATTTTGAATTGAATAAACACTAAACTCTATTTTGTAAATGTTTAGAAGTAAAGGTATTTCCCAATTTTATTTTTCAATTTCACCCAAAGACAATTTTTCGAGATTCTGATCTTTCAGGATTTTATAAATTCGGGATTTTAAGATTTGGGGTTTATGATCGGCATCTATCTATCTATCTATCTATCTATCTATCTATCTATCTATCTATCTATCTATCTATGTCAGTCTGTTCATACCCATCTTTCTCTCCATCTCTCACGCGCGCACACACACATTATATGTAAGGAAAACATGCCATTAAATTTTCCGAGGACTTTTCCTTATAACTAATATAAACTTTAAGCGATAAAAAAAAAAGTTCTCGAAATTTCGTATAATTAAATAAGTAAATATAACAGGTGTAAAAAAAAATGACAAATATTTTCTAAAATAATTTAATTCATTTGTGAATAGATTCTGGAAGTTTTATTAAAATTTCACAATTGTTTGATTTTTGCAAAAAATTTAAAAATCAGTATATTTTTCACTGCAAAATGACGCTAAAATTTCCTAGACTAATTGACTAATATATTACTAATTTCCTATACTAATTCATAATCAGTTCCTGAGGCAAGCAAAAAAAAAAAATATATATATATGAAGCAAAATTTTGAGTTTCAAATAACAGTTAACAAAAATAAAATATAAAATGCAGTTTCACCCACAATGAATCAGGGCAAGTAACAATGGTCATCGATATCATTTGTGACACGAACAATATAGGTGGTTAGTGTTTCAGTTTGATATAGACAGTTTTTGGTTTTAGTGTCGGGTAAGCTGATTTGGTGCCATGGTAGGTAAGCCACAAAACAAGGCCAGTGAAATGAGTTCGAATTTCGGTGTATGAATGAAATATTATTAAAAGCTCGTCTTCCATGATGGCAACAATAAAAAGAAAAAAATCTGATTGTAAAATGTAGCTGTGAATTGTTTGGTGAACAAAGTAAAATTGCAATGAATCTCTAAAAGATTAACCTAGTTATAGTCTAGTTGAACCGTGTCTAAACAAGAAAATACTGAAAAGTATGACCTGTTAAAATGCCCAGTCATCAAATTCATAACTTGATACAGTTTAGAAACGTTTATGAAGCCTTGCGAGTGTTGAACTATTTTCCTCTCCACAACTTGTTTCCTCTCAACTGAAATGTTGAAAACCTCTCATTATTCTTTTGGTATTTTTATATCGCAAATATTCTGACGAGCGACTCCTCTTCCTTTCACCGACTCTGACCTTCTCACAGCTAAGAATCGACACGAATCCTCTCCATTCCCTTTGTATTCCATTAGGTAGGAGGAAGTTCCATTCTGAGAGCTTCTTTCCAAGAAACACTACTTTGTGAAACGGACTCCCTAGAAGATGATTCCTCCATCATTATAATATTAACCTCTTCAAGTTAACTGTTATCTTTCCTATATATAGTCATAAAATGCACTTCTTGTCTCCTTCTAATACGATCGTATAACAACCTCGTTCTTTAGACTTCTACCTTGAGGGCTCTTGCTCTTGAAAAGCATTGTAAATTGTTACAGGAGCAAAATTTAAGAAAAACTTAATTATTTGTCCAAAAACAGTGGTAGAACTAAATTCGTAATTCCCAACCACCGATAAAAAAAAAATGTTACCCAACCACCGGTTGAACAAAGATTTAACCACCGGAAGCCCTAATGCCCAACCACCGGTTGAACAGTTTGAAACTTGAACAGTGGTAGAAAAAATGACGTAATGCCCAACCACCGGTTGAACAGTTAGAACGTAATGTCCAACCACCGGTTGAACAGTGGTAGAGAAAAAAATGACGTAATGCCCAACCACCGGTTGAACAGTGGTAGAGAAAAAAATGACGTAATTCCCAACCACCGGTTGAACAGTGGTAGAGAAAAAAAATGACGTAATTCCCAACCACCGGTTGAACAGTGGTAGAGAAAAAAAATGACGTAATTCCCAACCACCGGTTGAACAGTGGTAGAGAAAAAAATGAAATTCCCAACCACCGGTTGAACAGTGGTAATTCCCAACCACCGGTTGAACAGTGTAACCACCGGTTGAACAGTGGTAGAGAAAAAATGACGTAATGCCAAACCACCGGTTGAACAGTGGTAGAGAAAAAAATGACGTAATTCCCAACCACCGGTTGAACAGTGGTAAAAAAAAATGACGTAATTCCCAACCACCGGTTGAACAGTGGTAGAAAAAAAAATGACGTAATTGAACAGTGGTAGAGAAAAAATGACCAACCACCGGTTGAACAGTGGTAGAGAAAAAATGACGTAATTCCCAACCACCGAACAGTGGTAAAAAAAAATGACGTAATTCCCAACCACCGGTTGAACAGTGAACAGTAGAGAAAAAAAAATGACGTAATTCCCAACCACCGGTTGAACAGTGGTAGAGAAAAAAATGACGTAATTCCCAACCACCGGTTGAACAGTGGTAGAGAAAAAATGACGTAATGTCCAACCACCGGTTGAACAGTGGTAGAGAAAAAAATGACGTAATGCCCAACCACCGGTTGAACAGTGGTAGAAAAAAAATTCCCAACCACCGGTTGAACAGTGGTAGATGACGTAATGTCCAACCACCGGTTGAACAGTGGTAGAGAAAAAAATGACGTAATGCCCAACCACCGGTTGAACAGTGGTAGAGAAAAAAATGACTTAATGTCCAGCTACCGTTCGAACGGTGGGTAAACACTTGTAACTATTTTTTTAAATCTACCGAGAAAAATTACATACCAATTATTTGCGAATTTTAAATCAGAAGCTCAGGCAGAAGGGTTAATCTTGTTCATGAACACTGGGATCAAAGGGTTAAGGTGTAGTTAAGAGTCTCGTTTTCACATTCTAACGTTTTGGATCAGATTAAAATTTAGGTTTTCATAATATGAGTCTTGATAATAAAAGTAGGGCTCATTGTAAACGAGTGAAATCATTAAAACCGATTATACTCAAAAGTTATCGGTTGACCTTCCACACCTATCCGGACATTGAAAGATGATAAATTGTAGTTTCCCAGTTTCAAATATGTAAATATATCTTTTTAGAGACAGAAACTAAAAGAAAACAAAAAAGTGTAAAGTTCTTTACATTAATTATTGAACTGTAAAGAATACAACGAGATTTTATCTCAATATTATTGTCGTTTCTCTTTTGAACAAATTTGTTAAAGTCCCAGTGACTCTGGTGAATGTGGCATCCTTCTCAATTTCAAATATATAAATGTATCTTTTTAGAACGAATACATAATATTTGAAAGGAATTGCATTGCACTTTCTCAAAAGATTTTTCGAATGCTGAAAAGAAGTAATGAAGATATTGTTGAAAGAAATATATACAAGCTTCTATGAGACTGAAATTTTAATTTTTGAACTGGTTCAGTCAGTTATGTGCCACGCTTAGGCGATCATGTATCTTTCGATACATGACTGACGAGGCAGATTTTTTCTCGCAGTAGGTTGACATTTCTTTCTGCGGTAGATCAGTTGCCATCAATCCAAGGTTATAGAACCCGGTCTGTATTGCTATTTACCCATAGCCAAGGTGGGGTGAGATGAAGAGGATTTTTGAGCTGGTTACCTTGCCTTATTAGGTATACAAGAAGAAAATTTTGTGCGATTTGTTTTGTATTGTGTCTTGTCAATAATTGTAAATTTCGTTCAAATTTCACTATGGACTTTCAACACTTGTTTCTTGCGTTTTCGCCTTATGAATATTCCGGATAAGAGAGGTGATGACCTCGAATATGAATATTCCGGATAAGAGAGGTTGACCTCGACACTTGTTTCTTTCTTGTTTTTCGCCTTTATGAATATTCCGGATAAGAGAGGTGTTTCGACACTTGTTTCTTGCGTTTTCGCCTTATGAATATTCCGGATAAGAGAGTTGAATATTCCGGATAATATTCCGGATAAGAGAGGTGATGACCTCGACACTTGTTTCTTGCGTTTTCGCCTTATGAATATTCCGGATATTCCTCGACACTTGTTTCTTGAATATTCCGGATAAGAGAGGTGATGACCTCGACATAAACGCCTTATGAATATTCCGGATAAGAGAGGTGATGACCTCGACACTTGTTTCTTGCGTTTTCGCCTTATGAATATTCCGGATAAGAGAGGTGATGACCTCGACACTTGTTTCTTGCGTTTGTGACAGAGATGGTAATTTGTTGAAAAAATAAATGAAGATTGACATTACCAAATGAAAGCAATTTTAGATATATTTATAGAAACACTATATTGTGTGAATTTCAGTATATAATGTCTATGCTTATTGAAATATTGATAATAATTTATTTTGGAAGTGTCAGGCTTTATTATGCCAACAAAGATCAACATAATGTTTTTATTTATAAATAAATCCAAAAGAGGTCAAGAGAATTATATCTGATTAACACAATATTCCAGGAAAATTTTCTCGCTGGAGTCGATCCTTCAAATCTACAAATCAACCATTCGCCCTTGCATGGAGTATTGCCGCCATATATGGTCTGGAGCCCCTTGTTTGTCTCAAGGATCTTGATAAAATCCAGAGACGGATATGCAATGTAATTGGCCCTGATCTGGCATCTAGTCTGCAGTCGCTCTCTCACAGACGTGTCGTCGCCTCCCTCTGTCTTTTTTACAAATACTTTCACGATAACTGCTCCGATGAGCTGCTTTCGCTGGGTCCCAGACTTCATGAATTTAAGCGTTCTACTAGGCTGGCATCTCGCTCTCACCCTTTCACTGTCGAAACTGTTAAATGTAGCCGTCTCTTCTACTCCAATATACATGACCAAATTATTTCATCTTGCTCATTAGTTTTTCAACCCTGAATTTTGTTAACTTTTCGACTGTTAGGACGTTATCAATATCTAAAGCCTTTTTTTATTGTTCCCTGGAGATCTTTGTATCAGTATTATATTTTACTTCCACATATATTTCATTTAGTATTTGGAGAGGCGAGTAGAGGCATTGAAGGGTTTTTATAAGGTTGGTAAATGTCAGACATGCAGAAGGTAAAGAATTGTTTTGCACTCAAAAACATTTTATCGACGAAGTAAAAGCATAATTCTTGGCTTTTCATCATCATGAATTTTGGCTTTTCATCATCATGAATTTTGAATAGACCTACAATTTTACTCCCTAGAACATTAGCCCCAAATATTAGTCAACCCCCCACCGTTTGTCTTTTAAGTCGGCTTATTTAATTATTTTTATGAAAGACCAAACCTCTAATCACACCATCAGGTCCATCCAGTGTAGCTCTTTATTCATCAATAAACATTTTGAAATTAATTTTTCACTTATGCTTTTTCTTTTTGTGTTCTTTTCATAAACATTGTATTTTGGTTTTTTTCCTGTCCATTGTTCTTCATCTTTTCTCTCTGTTTAAATTCTCAACACCAACTTTTCTAACACGATAGCTCCCCATCTTCATTTACCTTGTAGTCCCAGGGTCACAACACTGTAACTTAATTCATTTTGATAAAAGAAACTTTGTTTTCTCATTGTTTCATATATGAGGCAAGAATATCATAGGTAGTATTTATTACCAACTATCCACCGATGTGTCTTTCAGTACCTCAGTCCATTTTAGAAACCAGAATCCCACACCACCCACACGAATACATGGTACAGCTCTGTGTATATAAAAATAAAAAATATGCAAAAAAAAAAAAAAAAAAAAAAAAAACAGGAGAAATTCCAAAATGGAAAACGAAATAACTGACAATAAATTAAAAAAATATTTAAATTATTTTGAAAAAAAAAAATGTGGTTCTGGTGTACCATGCTCTCATAAGTAATCAATCTTAACATCCAACTCTCAATAAATCACATAGAAAAGAAATTGGTAAACGACCCTAAAGAGGGTCGTGTGGCCCTAACAAACATACCATTCCGACCCTTCAGGGGTCGTGTGGGATCAACATGTCAAATCAATATTTCTTAATAGCTATATTTTTAATTTTTCTCAGTAATCTTTTTATGACGTTTTTAAAAACCAGTTTTCTTTCTTGTTCTTAGCTTGTCAATGTTTCTAAGTTTCCATCGAAGCTAGCGATTAGCGTTCGATCTCAGGTGAAAAGGCGCGATTGCCAGAGTGTCGTCCGATTTACACAAATATAGAAATTATATTTGGCCAAAGACCTGAGATTTCTCTCGTTTTTTTCTTCTTTTTTGATTTCTTAATATGTGCATTTGCTTCTGTATTATAGGACGATATTGAAAGTGTGGATTTCGGATCCAATCGAGCCGGGGTGGATAAGGCGAAAGAAGACATCAAGGAAATAAACCAGGATATTAAGAGTCAAAGCCCGGAAATCAAAAAAGAATTTTTTGGTACAAAATTTTCAGGTCTATCTATCTAAAATTCATATCTTTTATCTATTCATATCTATCTATCTATCTATCTATCTATCTATCTATCTATCTATCTATGTGTATTCATTATCTATCTATCTATCTATCTATCTATCTATCTATCTATCTATCTATGATGCTGTTCTATTCTATCTATCTATCTATCTATCTATCTATCTATCTATCTATCATTTTTTATGTTTAACGTTCTTTTTTATAGATAAAAGTATTTAAGTAAATGCTCTGTTTATAAACAGTCATTTATTTTTCATATATTCTATCTATCCTATCTATCTATCTATCTATCTATCTATCTATCTATCTATATTCATTATCTATCTATCTATGTATTCATTATCTATCTATCTATCTATCTCTGTCTATTCATTATCTATCTATCTATCTATCTTGTTAGAAAATATGCGTCCCCCGACAGGTTATTTTTCTCGAATATTCCGGCTGGTAGATGGAAATAAATAAATAAATAAAAACATAGCCTCTACTCAAATATGACTATACATTTAAAAAACAGCGTTTAACAAACAAATTCAAAATATGTCGGATTTAATCCATTTCCTAATATATATATATATATATAGAGAGAGATTTAATCCATTTCCATATATATATATATCGTGTCCGTAATGATCCTTCAGTATCTGCCTATATATCTGAGATGAGGTATTATGTACGCTATTTACATTATTCGGACTATCCACTGTGCCATGTGTCCTCAAGGACAGATGCCACACTGTATAAAGGCGTTGGTTAGATCCAGTGACAGGACCCAAAGAGTGTGAGTTCAATACCCTGTTAAGGCAATTGAGAACTTGGAGAGGGGAATTAACAGGAGATAACTGATAACTGACATCCATTAAACATGGCACGTGGAACTAGAACAGTCTACCCCAGTGAACGAAATGAAGGGTTCAATTCGACATTCCAACCGCCTGAAGAAACGTTGTAATAAATATGGCGACAAAGATGAGGGCAATAGTCCGAATAATGTAATAGTATATATATATATATATATATATATATATATATATATATATATATATATATATGTCAGTTTCTATCTCAGTTTTCTTCCCTCTCTCTCCCTATTATTTCTTTACCCTACTTTTCTCTAACGCTTGTTTTCTTATAATTTCGAACCCTGCTGCAAGACACATTTACTTCATTAAGAATCTGGAAGACACAGGCTGGTAGACATAGATTTACAAAGTAATAAAAAAAACAGGGAGGTTGAATCAAGCGTATATCTCCGAAATATAACGTTTAGAGTAATAAGAAATAATGTCAGATTATAAATAAAATCTCGTAATTAGTATGAAATTAATTTCTTTACGTTTTGTAAATGAAGATAAACGTTAGCAGAGACAGGCTTTAAAAACTCTGAACAATAGATTTGTGTTTCTTAAAATAAAGTCATTGAAATTTGCTTGATTGTAAAAGTCTTCGGCAGCTTAGTGAGCAAAAAGCACATCGTTCTTAATGGGGATTTACCCTTCAAGGATGACAAAGGTTGAAGGTTGAACTCTGCCGGAAGTCTCGCAGATGCACAAACCGGTACATATTGATTTATCTTAAAGTAATAAAATCATATATATATATATATATATATATATATATGAAAAAGGAAAACTCGTCTTAGCCAGTATATTTTCTGTGCTTTTCTTTTGTCATCTTTTTATCTTTTTTCATATCGTCCTTTTACAGATATACTCTATCTGCAATTTTCCATACATAATTATATATATATATATATATATATATATATATAAATATATATATAAATTTATAATATCAATTTTAGAATATCAATTTTTTATTCGACTTCGAATTTCTTAGTACAATTTCCGTACTTCAGGGATTCTGGTTTTCCCTAGAAACTTCGAAGTCGGGGAAAAATTGATATTTAAAAGTTAAGTAATCTTTTATATAAGATTATTAACAGTCTGTTTTAATATTATTTTAGTATTTTGAATATTAAGCACTATATATAAAATATCTACTGTTTCTTAAATTATAAGAAAATTATATATATATATATATATATATATATATATATATATATATATATATATATATATATATATATATATATATCCAAGCATAGGAAAGGTGTATACGGAATAAATTCTAATAAGAGTGCTCAATACAAGTTGAGCAAATATAATTATTTATTCGAAAATTATATCATAAATATGTTATAAAATCACCACAAAAAATAGCCATTTTGTTTCAACACTTCTGGTGTCTTATCAAGTGATAGTGTTGAATGTATAATAAAGGATTTTATATATATATATATCCTAATAGATCCAATTTGGAATTTATCTTGCCAAACGTTAAACGATTAATTTAGATGTCAAAACTAAAGGTTGAGTTAAATTCTTAGGTATTTAAGTTCTTCATCGTCTTTGAATGACCCAACAATGGTTTGGCAATAATTCCAGCCCATCTCATCACATTGCCGTCTCTTTGTTGCATTCTTTTAGCCACAGACGCATCTACATCGGATAAAATCCATTCTTTGGTCCCTCCATCAGATCCATCGAGTTCCATACGATGTTGTCCGTGAAAATTAATTTAGAAAAGTTAAAAATAACAAAAAACCGGGCATCTACTAAAACAGGTGTATCTACGAAAATAACATTTATAGTAATAACAAATAATGTCGAATGAAAAAAATAAAATCCATTATGTTTTCATATATATATATATATATATATATATATATATATATATATATATATATATATATATATATATATATAGGCAGCATATTTTCATTCAAGCATATTTGGTTAAATAATTTAGACGGATAATGTCTACTTATTTTAGATCCTTTCAAATCCACGAATTAATTTCTTAGTAGCTGTAGAAAATTGATTAAGAAAAATTCCAAAATTTTCTTTCAAATAATTATTTTCACAAGTACTTAAAAAATTGTGTACTTAATTCCACATACGAACAACGACAATAAAATCCCGCTTCTTGATATATTGGTAGACAGCAATAATAAGACATTTACTAATTCCCCATATAAAGACAACTGGCATAAACACGTGCACTCTCAACTATAAAAGTGAATGTCCTAACTATTAGAAAATAGCTATTATATGAAACTTAATAAACCGTGCAAACCAAACTCTTCAACAAGAAATATTTTCTATGCTGAATTAAAAATATATTAAATAAACCCTCATTAATAATGACTTTCTTAATTACATCGTTGATGAAGAAATTAGACGAATTATTGGAAATATTAACATAAATAAAAATGAACATAATACGTTCTCAAATAACTCTAAAAATACCAAACTATTATACTGTAATCAAATGCATTCTAACTATAAACAGGAGGAACAATTCTAAGAAGACTCATAAACACTAATATATACCCCCCCGATCCAAGTAATAAAAATAAAATTAATTATATACTATACTAAATTTAATACAACCAACCTAGTTATCTAAAACATCTCTTCTTTATCAGTTAGCATCTTACAAAATATCTTATATCAATTTAAATGTCCTTTAAGAGATTGCATCTCAGATAAAAATGTTAATACATCTGTTGGTTTTACAACAACGACAATGACGTGAATGCTTACGTTTCACTTAAACGATCATAATTCAATCTCAGAATATGTAAAGGAACACTCATGTCCACATTCACAGTTTCGACAGATTTTAGTCGAAAATACATCAGTGCTTCATCAAGATAATAATAAGTAAAAACTTAAAATTCTGGAAGTCCTTTACGAAAGAGAATTGCGGCCAAAAATAAAGTCAACTCCGAGTATAAGTTACCTTCTTTGCATAAAGGTGAATATTTTAAATTTACGTTGTTAGCTCATAACACATCAATAAATATGCAATCCCTGAAGATGGTCTCAGATGTGATTGAAAGTTCATGTCAAAATAAAAATTATTTGGAAAAAAAAAATTTCTTAATCAATTAAACGTCCGAGAAATTTTCATAGAAATTTACCGGCCTGAGCGAAGGCCGGTAAATTTTGTTAATACTGTTTATTATAAACAGTGGATTTACTTAAATATTTGTGTCTATATAAATAACGTTTAAAGTGATAATATAATATATATATTACTAAAACTTTATTTTTAGTGGATTTTATTATACGAAACTGAGCAGATATATCTCTTTCGAGCGTCAGAAAAAAAAATTGTGTTTAAAGCTACTATCCACACTTTGCTTGGCCATCGACGCTCTCTGTAGCCGAAACGGGAAGGCAGATTCGATTCCTGCCGGAGAGCGCATATTTTTCTCAGGCCAGTAGACGAAAATAAATAAATATACTGTTTAATAAATAAGCAGAGCGTCTACTCAAATACGAGTATCCGCTAAAAATAATGTTTAAAGTGATAAAAATCTGTTGGATTAATAAATAAAAATGCACCCCCTTTTCTTTATATAGGATTACTCTCTTATCGTTCTCTTTCCTTAATAATGTTTTTCTTTTCTTCTTACACACTCAGTGACCTCCCTCCGTGTCTTAGTGACTTTATTGCCTTGCTTGGAGCAAAATTATAAAAGAACTCAGCATTTTTTAATGAATAATCATAAAATGTATTGAATTTAAGAGTAAGTTAGAAATTGAATTTATCTTTGTTTATTTGAAAGGATGAAAATACCTGGTGCTTTACTGTGGGCCTAAAATTATTCATTACCTTGCAAAGATACGGTTTTGTATTTTTTCTTCCTCGTCATTTTTGACGGGTACTATGTTCGTAAATAAAAACATTAAGTTGTTACGAAACAGTCCTAAATGAATTGGTGTATAGTTTTTAAAATTCTTTAAAAAAATAAATATCTGTAATTCACTTATGCGTTCATTACAGAGGATAAAACAAAAGTCACTCACTATAGAGATAATTTATTAAAAGTTTAATTACAAATGATAATTTTATTTATTAGTTATTTAATTGTTATATATGCTGTTCAAAATGGCGTCCTTCTTTTTCAAAACCTTTTTCAATTCTGTGTCAACAGGATTCATTAACACGTCAGAGAATTTCCTTTGTTATTTTAAAACATTCATATTTCATTCTTTCATTAAGTTCTTTAATATTTTGGGGCGAGTCTGATAAACAATTGATTTCAAATGGCCCCACAGGAAAAAAAACAAACAAATGACCTCGGTGGCCATTCAACATGACCTTTACGAACAATTCATTGCCCCCCCCTATGGTGCGCGACTTTTGCCTCACACTGTATGTTATTTTTTTTTTTTTATTAATTACTATATGAAAGTTGGTACTTTTGTTTTCTTTGTAATTATTGAAGGTGTACATCTTTTTGTTTTTTGAAGGATCCTCGTATTCCGGAAGTGCGAAAAGCAAACCTTGTATTTGAAACTCTTAACGTAAGTATTAAAATGAAATCTGTCTAGAAAATAGACAACCATTTTCTAGCAAAGAAGAAAAAATGGTCTAATGCAATGGCGCCTTCGTTCTCTTTGAAGTTCCCTCCTGACGATCTCACACACTTATTCCAAATTCCTTTTCATTTTACAAAACAGTATGCAATATCATCTTTCGGGATCACCATAAGCTGCTTTAATCAAGTCCTCCTTAATTTCTTTTACGGCGTTTCAGCAAGGAGCCACATCTGGGCTGTAGGTGAGGATTGACAGACGTGGGTGATGTGATTCTTCGACAAAATGACAAAACGTAAAAAAATCAACTCATTTAGTAATTGTGAATCTCACAGCTTCACAGCAAACAAGTCCATCCAATGAAGTCTTACAGCTGATCGTAAAAGTGTTCGTGCATGCGCAGTAAGGTTGGTTTTCTCTCGTTGGTAGCCAATTTACATCAAGACCGCGTGACTTGTTCGCAAGGTATATAAAAATTCGTTATATATATATACATTCGTTTTGGATGGGCACGTGGCCGAGTGGTTAGGCCATTCCCTTTTTAACCATGAAACCCGGGTTCGAATTTCACCATAGTCGATTTGTTAGGAAAGTGACTTGTTTATGTTGTCGGCCGGGGCAGGGAGGGGTTGAATATGATCCCAGCGTGCGGCACCTTTTAGAATGTGTTTGAAAATCATACCAGGGATTGAACCAAGCCTTGTGAGTGAAATTGGGAAGATGGAACAATTTGGGAGTCAGCACGAAGTCGCAAGTCATCGTGGCAGAGAGTTTGAGCTTGTTCATAATGTTGTTATCACAGATAATGCGCTCTTTCCTAGAAACTGTAACTAAGGTCCGCTCTGTTGCAGTAGAAGCCACAGGTGGAACCTGCGGGTGTTGAACAAACACAAATGTGTCTGAGCAAGCGACTGCAATAAGGATTGGCTAGTCGCGCTAGCAGATAGTCATACTCGGATACGAGAGGTCCGCTTTTATCATTATACCCCTTGACCTGGTTTAGAAAATACGATAGCAATAGAATAATTAAAAAAAACAATAGAAATAAAAAAGAAAAAAAAAACAAGAGAGTTGTTATAAAATCCCGGTGCCTTTATAAATTTTAAAAATTCTTCCTGATGAAAAGTCGATTTATGAAAAGAAGTGAGAAACGTCCTTAAGACACGAACTGTTTCAACAAAATGGCGTCTCCTTTCACTTTGCTTTGTGTTAAACTCTTTTTAAGTAAAAATCTCACGAACAAATTGATTGAAAAACATGGACTGATCTCTTTCTCACAAAAATCGACATGGGTCGATTGAATTTATTTTAATGGGGACAAGTAACGAGTGTCTATTCAACAAAATCTTTCTCCTTCCTCTTGAAATGAGCTGTTGGAAAATTATACACCGGTTATGTGTAAAAATTTGTGAGGGAACAATTGAGCACAAAACGAAACGAACAACAGTTTAATAAAAGTTATTTTTCTCATGAAGTGAGGCGCGCTATTCAGAAAACCAGACTGCCCGCATGCGACCATAGTATCGTAGTTTTTCAACGACTGGTTTATTTGAACTTTAGAACGAATTTCAGCTTGTATTTATCCCATTTTGAAATATAATCTTACTCCTTTGGGGCTTAAAAATTTCATTTGACTCGTGTGGCTCACCTTACGATTTGGGAAACACTAGAATAGAGCATATTTTGTGATCCGTGGTTTGTTATAACTCGATGAAAACTACCGATGTTTCTAAATCTCATACTATGATGGCGTTGCGCCCACGAGAGCCACCTGGTCCCTCCAGCTCTCACGGTCTTTGTCAGAGTGCGGGAATATCCTCCTCTGCCAGATTAATCTGCTGGAGGACGACTTTCTTCCAGCAGCTGCGTGAACTACCAAGAGGTCGTCGTCAGTTTACAAATGATAGGTCGAATTGGTAGATGACTTTGGTAGGGTGATCATCAGGTCCTCTCAGGACAAGACCGAATCAACGTCATAAGATCGGACCATTGCTTCCTCTAGATGACGAGGATGGCGCTGGGCTCGAATCAATTGATGCTGGAGACGAGGATCTTACTGAGATGCCACTTCTTGGTGCCGTATATTAACACAGTGAGCACGGCGGCGTTGTAAACTCGTAGCCAAAGCATATGAAAGATGTGGGGAACCTGACAGTGTCGATATCAATGAGGATGGATGGTGAAATTGGACAATTTCCTAGAATTTTTTTTAGAATGCTTGTGGTTTCTGCCTAATAATATTGTAAGGAAAACACTAGAACAAAAGATTAGTGAAGAAAAGATTTAA